AAAGTGAGACGAATCCACTGGTATACGGCCGAAAAAGAGAAAACCAACAATACGAAAGTTATCAAGGTCAAATGTATTGCATTTTTAATTAGTTTAATCATAGCAGCCCAAAAATGCGTGCTGAAATTTTTACCCTCGCGCGTGGCGCTCGGGCAATCATCGAGTCTACTCAGTTTATTATTATGACTGAAAACACTCGCCCGTCGGGCATCGTGTTTCCACAAAACTCATTATAGTCTTTATATAACTTTATATCGACGCAGCAAGATGTTTTATAATTCTTAAATATTCACGATACCGCCATAATTTTGTAAAAATTCAACACAATACAGACATTGGGCTGCTGTGTTGTGATATGAATTCCAATTTTCTCTCCCAAAGGAGAGGCTAGCCACATGTACGCAGTGCGTACCTATTTTTCAGTTATTTTTGTAGCATTTTTGTATCTGCGAAGCAGATATATTGCTATCGCAAAGGTGCCGTACCGTACCGAACCGTATCCCTAGCCATTCAGCGACGAGCTTATATAATTTAAGCCAATTTAAGCCAATCAGCGATTAGCTTACATCGAGCATACACCTAACCTGCGAACGGGCATAGATGGCGGGCTTGCCTCGTGGTATTGCAAGTGTTCGCCATTTTGGATTAAAAAATACGGTATCTTTTGAATTACTCTCTTATTTTCTCGCCATTCTTCTATCAACATGGAAACTTTTCCTCATATGGTAAGTAGTCAATCTCTTCGGAGATCAAAACAATCTCTTCGGAGATCAAAACAATCTCTTTGGAGACCAAATCAATCTCTTCGGAGAGCAAAACAATTTCTTCGGAGAGCAAAACAATCTCTTCGGAGACCAAATCAATCTCTTCGGAGAGCAAATAAACAATCTCTTCGGAGAGCAAAACAATCTCTTCGGAGACCAAATCAATCTCTTCGGAGATCAGAACAAGCAAATACATATAACATTGTACATTTATACCGTACTCATGGTAGCTATATTAAGTGTATAAATTCAGATCACTGTTCATGTAGTTGCAGATCGTCTGTACGGAAATTAACTAAGCAAGCAAATGCTAAACGATCTAGAGACCGTGCACCTTCCAGTTTGCCTTTAAAGAGAATTATATTGGCTATGAGAAAGAGAACAAGTAGATCATTTTTAATTAAAGCATTATTTTGTAAGAACTGCCCCCAGGTCATCCATTTTGAACATGATAGCTAGTAATTTCAAGCAATGTTGTTTTCAATTTGTGCAAATACAACATATTTTTATGAATTCATTTGGATATTTTAAGCCTTGTGTCAACTTAGTTCACAAAAACATGTATACAGCAAAACTATCATTGTGTAATATGTTAAACACTCAAAACATAGCAGGCAATATTGCCAATGAACAATATCACATATCTCAAAGGACACTAATGTTGTCAGGAGATATTGAATTAAATCCTGGTCCTGTTCAAAACAACAGTCCAACTAGGCTGTCATCAAATGTAGTGTTACAACAAAGGTTAAGACGCTTTCAGTTAAGACCATTTGATGTCGGTGGTGATGGTGACTGTTTCTTTCGAGCTGTGTCACATCAATTATATGGTAACCCTGAACGACACTTTGAAGTTAGAGCGGCTGGTATTGCATATATGAGAGATAATCCTGAGAGATTCATTGAAAGTAATACTGAAATCTCTTGGTTAGAATACCTGAATAATATGTCTATGCAAGGGACATGGGGCGATGCTATGATAATACAAGCTGTGGCTGACCAGCTTAAGTTAAAAATTACTATTGGAGAAACGCATGAAGGGTTTCGTGAGTACAGTATAATACAACCTGTATCATCAACACAGCAATTAACTCATGTCTATTTGGGTCATATAGATGAGTATCACTATGTATCAACATTGCCATGTACTTCAATGTCAGGTTTTGTTGAGATAAATCCTGAACAGTCAACCCCTAGTTCTCAGCCTAAGCAAACAAGAACGCAGTATATGAACAACCTCATGAAACAAAAACAAGCTAATGAGACACGGAGCCCTGAGGCTAAGGAAAGGAGAAGAGTTTATGCAAAGGAATACAGAAAACGTAAACGGGCCAGTGAGAGTTCCCAGCCCTCGACACTGAGCATTGAGGCTAAGCAAAAGAAAAGACTGTATGCAAAGCAATATAGGAAACAAAAACAGGACAGTGAGAGTTCCAGCCCTCAACACTGAGCATTGAGGCTAAGCAAAAGAAAAAACTGTACGCAAAGGAATATAGGAAACGTAAACGGGCCAGTAAGAGTTCCCAGCCCTCAACACAGAGCATTGTCGCTAAGCAAAAGAAAAGACTATACACAAAAGAATATAGGAAACAAAAACGTTGTGAGATTGAACCACTACAAAGTTTAATATCCAAATTTCATGATGTTGTCTCACAAGGTCCTCTTTATATTTGCACTTGTTGTGACCAGTTATGGTACAAGCATAGTGTCATTCCAGTCACAACACTTAAAGAAAATAATCCTGATGTTCAAAAAAGATTGTTAAATAGAAAAAGCGTTAATAATGTGGAGTGGTTGTGTAAAACCTGTAATAAGTATTTAAAAAACAATAAGGTGCCTCCTTGTGCTGCCGTAAATGGGCTGCAGTTTCCGCAAAAACCTTTGTTTTTCGATCTAAATGAATTAGAGTGTAGATTGCTTGCTCCAAGACTTGCATTTCAAAAATTAATGCAGGCTCCTAGAGGTAGACAACTAAAAATCAATGGAAACATTGTTAATGTTCCAGCAGATGTTGTTAATACTGTTAACATGTTGCCAAGGTTTCCAAATGACACCAGCACAATTAAAGTTAACCTTAAGAGAAGATTGCAATACAAAAGTTCAGCTTTATCACTAAATGTCAGACCAAATAAAGTAGCAGAAGCTGCCAAATGGCTTGTAAATAATGGTAATCTTTATAAAGATGAAGGTATAACTTTCAATGACACTTGGCTTGAAGATAATTCAAATACTCAAATGGTATTTGATGATAGTGACAATGATCAAACTTCAGAGGGTTCAGAAAATGTTGTGGACTGTAATGCAGAAAGCTTGAATTGTGATACAGAATGTAAAACCCAGCAATCATCAGCATGTGATGATGATGAACACTGGAGTGAAGACGAGGCAGAAATACCTGCTGGAATCACTGACACTATGTTAACATCTCCAGATTTTGTCACTGATAATGAACGTCAGCATATTTTAAATGTTGCACCTGGTGAGGGAAATAGGCCTATGAGTATATTTAGAGATAAATACTCAGAGGAATTAGCATATCCTGGTATATTTCTTGGACAGAAGCGACCAGACAATACAAATAGACTAACCAAAGTCCATTATAGTGAAATTTGTAAATCTGAATTAAGAAGGTCTGACCGAAGGGCTGCAATGTGTGTGGAAAATATTTTCTTTAAAACAAAGAAATTGCAAATGAAAATTTTGCTTGGGCAGTCACAAGTTGCATTAAGAAAATGTCAACGAAATAGTAGCACAATCACTGCCGGTCAACTAAAACAACCGGGTGCATTAGATAACATGATTCATCATGATCAAGGATTTAAATTTCTTAGAGCTGTAAGGGGTTCACCTCCATATTTTGAAAAAGCTAAAAAGGATATATTTGCAATGATCAGGCAGCTAGGATCTGCTTCATTATTTTGTAGTTTTTCTTCAGCGGAAACACAATGGACTCATTTACTGAGAATACTTGGTAAACTTGTTGATAACAAAACATACACTGACACTGAACTTGAGAACCTCAATTGGGAAGAGAAAAGTAGGTTAATTCAAAGTGATCCTGTGACATGTGCCAGGCATTTTGATTATCAAGTACAGAAGTTTTTGCAAAACTTTCTTTTAAGTAGTGCTGCACCTCTAGGAAAAATTGCAGACTGGTTCTATAGGGTTGAATATCAACAAAGAGGATCACCTCATATTCACATGTTAATATGGCTAGAAAATGCTCCTACGTTCGGGGAAGATTCTGATTGTGATGTTGTTTCATTCATTGATACGATAATCACATGTGAAAAGCCAACTGAGAATCCAGATTTACTTGCACTTGTAAACAGGCAAGTTCATCGCCATTCTCACACATGTCGAAAGAAATCCAAAAGTGTGTGTCGTTTTAATTACCCACAGCCACCTATGAGGTCAACCAAAATTCTATATCCATTAGATATTGATATGGATGATAATGAAGTTGATCAACATAAAGATACTTGGAAATTTATAAAGAAACATCTGAATGATATGAAAGAGGGTGAGGACATTACATTTGACCAGTTGCTTGTAAATCTTAAACTGACAGAACAAAACTATTTGCTAGCTGTTCAATCTAGTCTCAAGACACCAACTATATTCTTAAAAAGGAAACCAAATGAACTAAGGATCAATAATTATAATGCTGCATGTCTCAGTGCATGGCGTGCAAATATGGATATTCAGTTTGTACTAGATGTATATGCATGTGCAATATACATTGTATCATATATATCCAAGGCTCAAAAAGGCATGAGTGAGCTATTGAGAACAGCTTGTGAAGAAGCAAAAAGGGGAAACTCCAGTATTAAACAACAAGTGAGAGATATTGGAAATAGGTTTTTGAACAATGTTGAAATAAGTGCACAAGAAGCAGTCTATATAGTACTTCAACTTCCAATGAGGAAATCTTCTCGTCAAGTAGTATTTATAAATACTTCACCCCCTGAGGATAGAGTTCAGTTACTAAAACCATTGCAAGAAATTAATGATTTGGAAGATGATTCTGATGAAATTTATGCATCTGGTCTAATAAAGCGTTACACAAAACGACCAGCCAAACTTGAAAATGTGTCCCTTGCAGATTGGGCTGCATGGTACGACTCCACTGGTAAGCCATATATCAAACCATCACGTGAATTAGATATTGATAATTATCCACTTGAGACAAACTTGAGTGATAATGATGATAATAATGAGGAAGAAGAAAGCGAACAAAAGAATAAAAAAAGATCTAAAGCCAGAATTATTCGAAGTGTCTGTTTTAACAAGGAAGTTGATTCTGAAAAGCATTACCGTGAACTAATCATGTTATTCACTTCATGGAGGGATGAAATAACTGATTTATTAGGAAATTGTGCTTCTTACCAAGAACACTATTTTCAAGTTAAAAATACAATAGATGAGCAAATGAAATGTTATGCTATGTGCAGTGAAGACCTGAATGCGATTCAAGACCAGCTTAATAATGTGGAAGATAGTGATGAAAACTATGACCTGATTGCCCCAGGAACACAAAACATTGAGCGTCAAGATGAAGATGAAGGTGCACAAGACCTTCATCCAGAATTCAATGAAACCTATGACCTATCTGGTGATCTTGGAATTCCTTCAGCTGCATCTAATACTGAGCAGCTGATATTACATGAAGAACAGGATGATGTTTACAGAGGAATGGTACAAAAATTAAACAGAGAACAAAAAGAATTTTTCTTCCATGTTTTACATCTTATTAAAACTTCTGACAATCCATTCTACTGTTTTCTTAGTGGAGGGGCTGGAGTTGGCAAGTCACATCTCACTAAGTGTCTTTATCAAGCAGCATTAAAGTATTATAATACTAGAGCAGGTGATGATTTCCATCAAGTGAAAATATTAATGCTTGCACCAACTGGTAAAGCAGCTTACAATATCAAAGGTAACACAATACATAGTGCACTTTCAATACCTGCATGTCAATCTTTAAAGAATTACAAACATCTTGATTCAAGCAGGTTAAACACCTTACGGTGTCAACTTGGTGGTTTAAAACTAATATTTTTGGATGAGATCTCAATGGTTGGTAGTACAATGTTTAATGTTCAAATAAATAATAGACTGAAAGATATTAAAGGAAGTAAAGAAGATTTTGGTGGTGTAAGCATGGTTGTTATCGGTGATTTATTTCAGCTGGAACCTGTAATGGACAGGTATATATTTAAGAATCTAGACAATTCAGAATATGCAGTTCTTGCTCCTAATAAATGGCAAGATAACTTCAATATGTTTGAATTGGAAGAAATTATGCGCCAAAGGGAGAGCAAAGTGTTTGCTGAAATATTAAACAGACTTAGGGAAGGAAAACATACTAAGGATGATATTTTGAAACTAAAAGAAAGATTAATAAAAGAAAATAGCATCCAAGATCCCATGGATGTGCCTCACTTGTTCATACAAAATAAGAAGGTAAATGAATTCAATGAAAGAGTGCATAATGCAGCAACTGGTGAAAAGTTTTCAATCAAAGCAATAGACAGTGTTATAGGAGCTAACTCTGCTCAACTTCGAGATAAAATTTTGAGTCAAATACCAGATGATCCTAGGAAAACTAAACAAATTGCTTCAAACCTTCAATTGTCAGTGGGGGAAAGAACTGAGATAGCATTAAATGTACGCACTGATGATGGAATGACTAATGGTGCTGGTAATGTTGTTAAAAAGATACAATTGAATCAAATAGATAAACCTTCAGGTATAATATGGGTCCAATTTGACCATTCAGATGTTGGAGAGAAGACCAGACATGAAAATAGACGTCTTTATGTTCAAGGTATTGAGTCCACATGGACTCCAATAAAGCCAATCACAACTCAGTTTGCTGTGGGTAGAAACCAAACTGCACAAGTTGTTAGAAAACAGTTTCCACTTAGACCTGCTGCGGCTAAGACAATTCACCGTTCACAAGGTGACACTGAACAAAAAATTGTTGTAAATTTCAACACTAGAAGATCAATACCACATATACATTATGTTGGTTTGAGCAGGGTAACAGCAATTGAAGGTTTATTTATCACTGACCTATGTGAAGATAAAATAGCTGTCAATCCTCATGTAGCAGCTGAAATGGAACATTTGAGAAATGAACGTGTACTAAAACTAAGTGTCACTCCTATTTATAAGACAGACCAAGTCTCATTCAAACTGTGCTATCTAAATGCACGGTCGTTGCATAAACACATTGATGATATTCGGCATGATTTTAATTTTGCTAATACAGACATCAATATTTTTTCTGAAACTCGATGTATGCGCTCGGATAATGCCAGTATGTATGATATTGATGGTTACACCTTGTTCAGAAATGATGGTCACTCTTTGACTACCAGACCCTTTGGTGGCATGGCAGTGTTTAGCAGAGTTGAATTCTTACCTGGATATCCATGTTGTTATAATATCAATGGCATTGAAATAACCATTATGAAAGCAATGATTCTTCCACATGTTACTATAATTGGTATATATCGATCACCCAGAATTCCAGTGCAACAATTGTGTGCAGCATTAGATGAAGTTTTGAGGTTTTGTACTTCTCAATTTAACATTTTCATAGGTGATTTTAATATCAATTGGTTGGATGAAGCCAATAGAAGGCCTTTAGATAGATTTTTTATCAATGATCATAACTATATGCAATTGGTGTCTAATGTCACTACAGACAATCGGACATTAATAGATCATATTTATACAAATCTACCAGAGTCGCAAGTTAGTTCACACATTTTAGAAACTTATTTCTCAGATCATAAAGCAGTTTGTGCCTTAATTAATTGTTTTCATTAAAGCAAACTTAGAAATGTTATGATAGAAATATTTCTATATTGGGACAAGAGTCACTGGACACAATTCACTTAAATACTTACACATTTTGGTTTTATACACATTAGAGTTAAACAAAATTTACTAATTTTCAAATGCTAATAACAGAATCACCAGGTAAGCAAGTTTTTTTTACACCTCCCCCCCCCCCTCCCACCCACCCTCCACCCACCATTTTGCTTTCTAACATAAATGTTTTTGTTTATAGAGATTAATACAACAATGACCAATAAATGTACTGGATATATTTGTTGGATAATTCCATCAGAACAACCCACTTGCAAGACAATCTCACCAAAATTCATTAGTATATATGGCTATATGAAAATAACTTAACAACTACAATAATCATATGGATGGATCTGATCAATGGCATACAATGTACAAAACCAAACTTGTACTCAAACAGATTTTCTCCCAAAACACAAATTGTTTTTGTGTGGATATCCTGTGTTAAAATTATACTGAACAGTGTGCTATATCATTAACTGTGCACAGGACTGGAATGGAATTATACACTTCACTCGTGACCTTCAAAACATTCTCTACTGATCAGTGGTCTTCCATGTTCCTCAAATAGTTTGTGTATGTTACTCAACAGTTAACATTGGCAAGTGTAATTAACAAGTGACAGAACTTTTGCTTCATATGATTACAATAAAGTTTTGGAAATTCTATGTGTATGGATTGACAAGTGACAACATCTGCTATCCTGACTATATGGCATCTAAAATGTGTTGTATATTGACATTATATGGATAATAAAGAAGATTGTCAAGCTATCTCTGTGACATCACAACTTAGTTGACCTAAGGAAACCTTGTTACAGTTATGGAAACACCACTGCAAGTGGAATTTATAGCAGCTGTTTTATTCACTATGAAAACCAGATCAATACTCAGTCTCACACAGATTCAATACTAGAATCTAACATTAATTAAACATCTATTTTCAATTGAAAACCTTCAGAAACTGTACAGTCTATAATATATGCTATATAATATATACTCGTGATATAAATTTAAAAAATATTTTATTTTATGCTGGTGTAATATTGTGTGCATGAAATTTTTATTTTCTGACTGCATAATTATCCGTTACAATCATAATCACATTACAAAATTAGTTACATTTCCTCGGCGGGGTGGGAGCAGTTGCCCCTGCTTGTTGACTTTAAAATCTTATTTGCTATTATAATTATAATAAGTGATGAAATATTTCAATTGCCCCATGTCATCTTCATTATTCAGTTCCTTTCAAGAAAATACAAAAATGTGAATTTCCAGTTTTTCGCAGATACATGTACGCCTAGCGTACCTATTTTTTTACTTTGTTCGCCATTCTTGCTTATTTACAAATACAAATAGTCCATTTCTTCTTTTGCTCTTTTCAAAATAGCCCAGAATTTGGTTTAAAAAAGTATTTTCATGCAAAAACCAGCATTTAACTTTTGTATACACTCCTTGTGATAGCAGCCATGTTGCCAAAATATCACCCGGTTAATGAATAACTTCCGGTACTTTCATTGTATTCGCATTGACCAGTCAAATCACGCTCTGAGTTGGATTATCCCAGGGCTTCTGAGAGCAATAAGCGCAGAAGCCCTGGGTACGAGGTTGGTAGAGCGGCGGTCTACTGATATCCGAAGATGCGAGTTCAAATCCCGCTGAGCCAACGAATTTTTCGTTGGTCGATTGCAGTGTCAGAATAATATGAAACAGACGAGAAGAACAGCAGCTTTGACCAAAAATTTTCCCTACTTGCAGTTCACAACATTTTTTATGGCAATTAGTGTCGGGAAATTAATTTCCATTAAAGTTGCCCCCCTCCCAATATTTTTGGCGTCGGTACGCCCATGCTGCCATCTTCTGTCAATTAAGCCATTTTCGTTCATATTTGTTGCCCCCTTTTGGGCACTACTTTAAATGTACATGAATCTGTTTCTTTGTATTTTACGATCAAGCGTCAACATTTTCTATCAAAATTCCCCCATTTGTCTCAGGATACTGGTTGTTATGTTGTGTACAGTTATTGTACTAGTTCAAGTCTCTTATCAGGGGGTTTTCACTCGGTTATATGCATTGTCATTCTTTGGATTATAAATATGAAAAAAATAACACAAAAATTTAGAAGTTCTTCATATAAAACCGAAAGGTACTTTTACATGTTTGCATGTCACTGAGAGTTAATCTATTGATCTATTGTTCTTTATTGCACCTACTATTGGGTTTATTGGCTCATCTCAATGTGAAATTGGCATTGCAATGATTGCCTTGGCGAGGTTGTTTGTCTGTACTGAAAACTATGTACACAATTTTGGGGGAAACGACAAAACGCGGACCCCAGGTCCGTGGAATTCCTTCGTGGACCTGGTCCGTGCAGGACTAAATTCGTGGACCACTCTCACAGATCACTCTTGTGGACCACTCGCGAAACACCGGATTTTGCCGGCCATCAACCGAGCAGTAATGACTTTTCGTAACAATACAAGCAACCTTCAGTATAACTGCACGACCTAAACTTATTGACATAACATGGCGTAGAAACATTATTTTTCAATAACGCGATAACTTGTATTTGGATGGAGCTATTTTATGGTCAGACGTTCGAATGAAGACTGCCCATGCAGTAAGAGTTCACAGTTCTTCAGTTTACATTTACAAAAACATATATGTGCGAAATGTAAAGACATTGCGTTACTGAAACTGGTGGTTTGAATTCTTGACTGTGCATGGAAAAATGTGCTTGAGTCGAGTTCAGTCATTATTAACATTGTGGAAACTCTACACAAAATGTAAAGTTCCAAATCCATTCACTATACGACCACTATAATGTATAAGTGTACAATTACGACTTTAATACAAAGTTTCCGAATATATGCCCTTAAAATTGGTAGTTTTTTCTTTTCGATTTGTACAGAAAATGCAAGAAAAGCAGTAATCGCGAGCTTCAAAAATAAATATTTTTGGAGAGGACGACCTCTCTAGAGGCATTGAAAGGTCATTGCAATTTTAGGTCATTACAGTTCAAGTAATTTCTTAACATTAAAATTTAAATAATTCGATAAAATACTTCGACCACTCTCCACCACCCAAACTCCAGATTCTCCAACCTAGAAGTGGGACAAGTCAGAATCCATAAAGTTTAAAAGTGTTCATTAAAGAATCTTCCCATGCAATTGCATATTGAAATGATTGTTGAGCTAACAAAACCAAATGCTGAGTCAATAAAGAATGCCATGCAGATACATTCTTGACAAATAAAAATTATATGGAAGAGGGATTTCAGTAATTTTTTTTATTTTTGTATATTTATTACCGAATCAAGAATGATAAAACTACATACAGTATATAACCACGTGAAATCCCCCTGATAAAGGACTTGAACTTGTAGAACAACTATATATAACATGAAAAGTTGACATTTGATCTTGATCTAATGATATCTGTTACCTTGAAATTGAAGGCATGTTGTAAAATATGGACTGGACCTTGGACTGGACTTGTAAACTATGGACTGGACTTGTAAACTATGGACTGGACTTGTAAAACATGAACTTGTAAAACATGAACTTGTAAAACATGGACTTGTAAAACATGGACTTGTAAAACATGGACTTGTAAAACATGGACTTGTAAAACATGGACTTGTAAAACATGGACTTGTAAAACATGGACTTGTAAAACATGGACTTGTAAAACGTGGACTTGTGAAACGTGGACTTGTAAAACATGGACTAGTAAAACATGGACTTGTAAAACATGGACTTGTAAAACATGGAGAATAGCAGAATAATTCGTGTATTTTTACCTAGCTGTTTCTCTATATAGGTGACATTAGGTGTACATATAGAGAAACATATCATCGATAATAAATTCGCTCGAATATCAAATCCATGTTTTACAAGTCCATGTTTACAAGTCCATGTTTTACATGTCCATGTTTTACAGGTCCATGTTTTACAGGTCCATGTTTTACAAGTCCATGTTTTACAAGTCCTAGTTTTACAAGTTCATGTTTTACAAGTCCATGTTTTACAAGTCCATGTTTTGCAAGTCCTAGTTTTACAAGTCCATGTTTTACAAGTCCAGTCCATAGTTTACCATGAGTCCAGTCCAAGGTCCAGTCCATGTTTTACAACATGCCGAAATTGAAAGGATGATATTTCAACAATATAAAGAAGTGTATGGGTGGAAACATTAGCCACCATGCACTTACACCCATAATTTGTCTTACTTGGTCATTTCTTGTTATCTTTCCCTCTTTGGCCAAATCACAGCTATGATATACAGCAAAAATAACAAGACCATCAAGACTGCATATAACTGCGATAAAAATGAACACAGGAATGTTTATGAGCACTGCTCTATAAGAAAGGAAATAATGAACTAATTACATGAATTTGAATTTTTATTTACCATTGTAAATCGTTTCTACAAAAACCAGCTACATTATTAAAATGTATAAATCAGTGCTTTTTCATGTAAGAAGACTGAAATCTAGACAATTCGGGAGAGGGGCAAAGGAAAGCTTAAGCGGGAAATAGACGGCCTACTAATGTTGTTTACACCGTTGCTATACCATGTCCCAACATTATATAACTTGCATGCCTATTTACTATTGTTCTCGTTTACAGAAGCATATAATAGGAAAAAGGTAACTAAGCATTAAAATTATGTAGGCCTATAGTAGAGTTAATTCGCTCATGTAGATTTTTAATTCTAAAGCCGGCTCAGCTGCATTACCTTTGTTCTATTCTATATATATGTTTCAGTAAACTAGAATAACTACATAAGCTTTATAATTTTAATTATAATAATATAATTATTATATTAAAATATTAAAATATTATTATAAGTAAAATATTAGAATATTGTACGGCACTCAACACTGTTACAATATATACCAAAGAAAGTTTAACTAGTAGCTAATATTAATGATATTATATGTCACGTTGATTGACAGTAGCATGAACGAAAACAATACAGCAGTTAGGGTGCATGTGCATGGGCAAATGGACTTAACTGTAGAGAGTTTATGATCTTATAGAAGGTTTGTATTAAAACGTATTTAACTCTGGGTACTGGAAGCAAATACCTCAGTTAATAATATTTAATGTTGTGATCATAAGGTTAGTTCAGTCCATTAAAGACGTGGTGAAATGCCCAGACCAATGAAAAAAATGTTCAATGTTGTTATAGACAAAAATTGATATTTTATCTGCAGTAGTTTTGTGTTCTATTGTTTTGTTGATAACTCTCTCAGCAGATACAGCAACACCCCCACCCCCCACCACCGTGGGAGTGCGGCTATAGCCCAAAAGCAAAAAATTCGGCGATGGGATTTCTGTGAAATCAAATATTCGATATTACAACTTTATTATAATTGGTTGACTATTGAATTAACATGTGCTGTTTTCGTTTATCTACATTTCCATAACTTAAAGCAATACGTTTATGAGAAACAGGGTATTATTAGTGCACTTGTTGAAATACCTGTATGGTATTTCAAAGGACAACCTTTTTGAATTGGCTGTAAACATTTATATACTTACTTTTGGGCTTCTTTTAGTGATTTGGAAGCAAGGAATCTTTGCACAGATAACTGACTGACTGACCATGAATAAAGATAGGTGAATATACCACCAACAGTAAAAGTCCAAAATGTTGAACGGACGGTTGGATCTGGATCAAAGCTAAAATTAGATGAAAAAGTGGACATCAAGGCTTGTGATTTTTTAGAATAATTCAATTATTTAGACTATCTATATAAATACCCATGTCTCAACCCATTGAGTTGCATCCCTGTTACTCGAAACCATGCTATTACCTATACTAATAATTAACAATGATTGCATTGATCATATACAGTTTCTTACTTGAATATCTGTGTTCGTTCCATTTCTTTGTTTATTTTCCAGACATTACTGAAGCCATCTACCTCAATAGTTCCAGTAATGAAGATGCACAACATACCAGCAATGATAACAAAACCTTGGAATACATCTGTCCAAATAACTGCCTTAAGACCTCCCTATTAAATTGCAGAAAAGAGTTGGGCATAGGCGTATACGGGGATGATGCTTTCTGGGGGGCAGATGAAAGTTTGCCCGAATTGTTATGGAGGATTGTAATGAAATAATCTGAATTTAACGTATTTTTTATATATATGATTTTTCCTATAGCATTTCCCCGAATTTCATTGGGTTTCCAAAATTGAGGGACCTGGAGTTGGGCGATATTTCGATATTATCCGATATTTTCGCTCATTATTATCGTATATCGAAGGTAGACACGTCACCCATAATTATCGCTATATGGTCAATGATCGTGCATTGTTTCGCATGTGTACTATATAGATTTTTTAAAAACCGAAAACAGTTCTTTTAATCTTCTAGTTTCATAAATTTGTTTTTGAAAGATTTTCGCTTTGCCACTATCGCAGTGGATATATAGTTAATTAAAATTAAAATTGTGATCATTGCATCTGTCGCGATAATCCCCACTATTATATACACAAGGTCCGGATATGAGGTATTCTGCAATCTGATTGGTTCTCTACTAGCAGGATATTAGCTCATATCCTGCTAGTACTAGTAGAGAAAAACAAAATGGCGGCTCAAACTGAATTTCCGACATCTTGCGAACGAGAAAGCGACAAGTTGTTCGCTTTTTATAGCCTTTACAGGATTAAAAACACAACGAAAAAATTCCCACAAATTGTTTACAGGTTAGCAAATGAATTTTTAAAATTTAAAATGGTTAAAAATACATATTTTTGAAAAAATACTCGGCCGAAAGAGCGAAGATAAAAACATAAACAAAATAGAAAAATATTGAAAATATCCGAAAAGCAAAGTTTGTGAATTCAGACCTTGTGTATATAATAAAACAGTTATTCCACTCACTCTCGTCGAATACGAGCGATAGCCGATTCGGCGCTACGCGCCTCATCGGCTATCAGCTCATATTCGACTCGAGTTCGTAGAATAACTGTTAAATATATATATATATATATATATATATATATATATATATATATATATATATATATATATATATATATATATATATATATATATATCGGAATATATAATGCTGGTTTAAGCACATATTTCAGTTGCTCCTTCATAAAAGTTTTCTTTTAAACGTTTCCTTTGGCATCTGATATTGGTCGCGATATAGACAGTTCAAAATCACTTCTAACGGATAATACATTGACCTAAAATGAGCAATTGCTTTGAATTACAAAAGAACAAACTCATCTGGAATGGCGACTTAAGCGAATTAAAGTCCTACGTCGCAGAAAAGTTAAACATAAATGGTAAATGGAAATCACCGTCAGGTGGACGCTGGTTATTTACTAGCGATGCTTTGTCTATAACCTGGTATTGTAAAAGCAAAACTGTCTTATTTCAAGGTCCTCGTGGCAGCGAAGTGGCTGACTCTTTGAAGAAAAATATCGATGCATCGCGAATTGCAATAGTGAAAGATGCCGAGCTAATCATTGCTACCCCTGCTGTTTCCGAAAGACGAAATGAATCTATCGATAATCAGTGTAGTCTCAGTATTAACAATTCTAACTCGAACATGTTTGACAGATCTAGTAATACAACAACAACTATCAACCGAAGCGACTCGGATGCTAGCGAAGGAAAAGCAAATGAGCAAGAAATGTGTTCACACAAGCAGAACGAAGGCGATTATATAATGAATTGCAAAGACTGTAGTAAATTATCTGTAGAAGTAGCAGAAATTAAATTGGACTTGGCATTATTATTCCTAAAAGTTAATACTGCTGAAGCTCCCGCTACATGTGAATGCAATCGGCTACGAAACGAAAATCAGCTATTGAAACAAGAAATTAAATTACTCAAGGAAACACTGCACGGCAAGGAATTGTCAAAATCGCCAATTAACATTGCTATCGATAATATGAATAATCAACCAACCATCACTGACAATGACTCTGTTATACTAATTGATATAGAAGAATCTGAAGTTAACGTAAACACTAATATGAATAATTTACCATCTGCGACATGCAAAGAGAAACAATATAATACCCGAGGGCCAGTTGTTAATGACTCTCTTATGAAATATAGAAATCCCAATAAACCAGTCGTGCAAGACTCCCTGACCTCATTCGACCATCTCCTAAAAGAAAAGGCCGCCTTAAACGCCAACATGCATCGTCATAAGAGGAATCAAGTGCATAATTCTCCAACTAACAGAACGCATTTCTCGAAACCTAATTACCGGCGCAATCAGGCCGCCTTAAACGCCAACATGGATCGTCATAGGAGGAATCCAATGCATAATTCCCCAACTAACAGAACGCATTTCTCGAAACCTAATTACCGGCGCAATCAGTTTTCCGAGCCTAAACATCAATATCGTCAAGCAAATTTTCCCTCAAAGATTTTTCGAAGCGGTCGCTATCGGTGGATTCCGAAACCAAGAACAACAGCAGACTATACAGATACAAGAGCAAGTCAAATCAAATCAACCCGGCATACAAAGTGAATCCTTTCCAATCAAAGTCAGAATTACAGCTTGGAGAAACGGAGTCCTGGGAAGCTTACCTACAGCTGGTCAACCGCACCTTGGACCAGTTTGGAACCCTCGTTTAGGCGCAATCCAACGGACAAGTGATAATTATACATCTCAGAGAAGTGTAAATTTTAATAATTTAATTAACATTAAGACTAATACAAACCCCACCATTGGAAAGTCCTCAGTCCCGTCCTTCCTCTTGTCAAATGTATGCTATATAACAAATAAGGTAGACGAATTAGCTGCTGTTGTATCGATCTATGACCCATCCGTGGTAATGATAACTGAATCTTGGCTAAGTGATGATATCGGTGATTCCTCGGTTAAGATCGGTAATAAATACAACATATTTCGTCGCGATAGAAAGTCTCCTGGCGGTGGAGTGATCGCCTACGTGAATAATTGTTTACCAGCCGAGCGTATGACTCACCTCGAAGAAGAAAACAAAGAAGTGATATGGTTGTTGTTAAAACCCCTCAGAACCCCTAGACCTTACAGTACAATCGTTGCCGCTGTTGTGTACTACCCTCCTGGTCAATCCGCCGAACAAGCAATCGATATGAATGAATACTTAACTACTTGTATAGATAGTCTCTTGCGCGAACGTCCTTCATCTGGAATTGTTATAGCTGGGGACTTCAATCAACTAAAATTAAGAGAACTATGTAACAGATTTAATTTAAAAAGATCCGTAACTAAACCGACTAGAGGACACAACATTCTTGATCAAATCCTTACAAATATGCTCCCTCTCTTTGACACTGTTAGCCATCTCCCCCCAATCGGACGCTCCGACCACCAATGTCTTCTAATCAAGCACATTAAAAGACAGAAAACTCCGGTTACGTCAAAAAAAATTAGATTGATGAAACGAGCAAATTTAAATTACCTCTCCCTGAATATGGCTTCTGAAGATTGGACTACTGTATATTCAGCACTGGATGTGGATGAGAAAGTATCAGCTTATAACTCCATTATAATCAAGATGCTTGACGAGTTCTTACCAGAAAAAACCATCAGAGCACATCACTCTGATAAACCGTGGATCACTGGTAATATTAAAATGCAAATCAAAGCTCCTCAGAAG